GGAATGGCTGGGCTTGATGATCTTGAAGGGCTTTTCCAACCAAACTGATTCTATGATTTCTCAAAAGCACTGCTGGAGGGGGATCCAGAGCAATGCCCTGCCATTACCATTGGATACCTGGGGGGGTATCCAAAATTAAATGTTGGATTCACGGCAGCAAAATTAACGCTGCAGTAGAACATCCCATTGTAAAGGCCTACCCTGTCTATGCTTTTGTTTAGTTAATCGATTGCTAAAGTAATTGAAAAGGAGACAACCCGATGTATTATTGCCTTGATTAGTAAACTGTGAGGAGTTACTTAAGGTGTTCCAAGGACAAAAACTACAGGAAAAATAATTTGGGCAAGGGGACATCGCGACCACCGGCTCAAATGGAAACCAGAAGAAACACACATGCACACACCCCCAGCCTTGAGCATGGGTAGTGAATTAAAATCAGATGGTACCTTTAAATCAAAGCAAATTATGAACCAATGAGAGAGAGGTATGATTGGCTAATATAATGATTATTAATTAGATATGTTAATTGTAATGTATAAAAGTTAAGAGAAAGCCTTGCTAAGCATGCTGGCTTTGTGGGAGGCCACCCAGCACCCGACCTTGCGCAGCTTTGCAAATAAACAATATCTCGACTCAGTGCGTGAAGATTGGCTTATCGCACACCGGGTAAATGAACCCGACCAGGACAACAGTGGGGGCCATAGATTTCCCTCTTCCTAATGAGATTTCTCCCCCCGCAGTGGTATTCCCCCCGACTGAATGGGACCCGGTGCCCTAAGTTCTTTCCAGATCTCTGAAGAGCTGAAAGACATCTCCCTGCAGCCTCTCCCTGCTTCGCCGGCGTATGGAGGAGAAAAAGCATCTGCAAAGCACAGAAGTTGTTGGAAAAACAAGGACACAGTTATTTCGTGTTACCTCTCCCAGAATGCGCAGCCATGGCAGAAGGTATGGAAACAAACTGTTTATTCATTTTAAAAAGTCAGCAACATAACACGAGGCATTGAAACACAAAACCAAGCCTGAGTGCACCCGTTAGCCTGTTGTGGTGGGTAAGACAATTTTTCCTTCAGTAGAAAGCTTTCCCTCCGAAGGCTTCAGTAGAACTGGAAAAAGCTCTGCCTCCTCGCCCACCAAAACTAAGGAATGTGTCTCCAATCACAGCACAGAGAGCAAGAAAGGAAATGATTTTATTTGAGGCCACAGAAGTATCTCCTATTCAAGCCGACAGTAGCCTAATACAGAACAAAATGAGCGACAGAATCGGGTGTAGGCCGTATCTGTGTCTGTGCCTTCAAATTCTGACCTCGGTGTGATGCCTTCAAAATGGGATTATACACCAACGGCTAAAAAAATAAATTGCTAAGCCAAACAAGAACCACATTTCTGTAGTGGAAATGACACTCAGCTTAACAGGCAGTTGTGTAGGGTCCGAGGAAAAGCCTCTTCCAGAGGTTGGCGTGGAAGTGCGAGTCAGGCAGAGGCACAAAACCGGGACCCTCCAACGGGAGCGTTACACCGGGCTCCAACCAGCAAGCGCTGGCGAGGTTGGGTGAGCTACCCCAGCACAAGGCACCCCGGCCTAAGGCATCAGGAAGTGCTGATGAGATGCATTTTTGGGGACAGGTCATTCCTTAAAAGGCACTGTTCTAATGACATCACTTTATCAGAGGAAGGGTTTGTAATGTAACCCTGATGATTTATATTCCCACGAGTCAAGGAAGACAAAGAATACAGGGCTGACCTGTAACCAGGGCAGCGGGAGTTTTTTCTGATGTCACCAGCGACATCTTCCCTACCTACAGATCTGTAAGGCAACATATACATAAACCACAGCAAGGCTGTTAATGCTCCGCACGAACAGAGGGCAAGATAAGATGTAAATGTGTTTGTATTTTAGACGATTGATTTCTTTGTGGTTTAATTATCTTGCAAAAACTGAAGCAAGCCTGCATTCTGCACTCCCCATGTATCAATGAGGTTAATTTTTCCTTGCACAGCCTCTCTTATTCTGTATCCACGTTTGCTTCAGCTGACGAGTTTTGCTGGTGAAAGCGACAGCAATGGGACAGCTTGTCAGGAAACCATTTGGCTTTTCTGTATTTGGTTACAGCATTCTGTTTAAGATGGGCTTTACCAGCCCGATTACTAGACACAGGGGTGTTCCAAGCGTAAAAGCATATCAAAAGGATCAACCGGAATGGCCATTAGCTAGCCAGAGCATTAACTAATCTAAGTCAATACTCACAGCAATTAATAAGATAGTTGGGAAAAATGAAAAAGAAAGAAATCCTTATGATCAGTTGCTTCCCATCACCCAGGCAGTCCACCAGGCATCCTTTAATCCTCCCCACCACAGAGTCTGAGCAGAACTTTCCTATAGTCTCCTGAGCAGTCTCCCTGAAGAGAAAAGAGAAGAGGAACGCAATTAGTTTTACAGCTCTGTACAAGTCTGGATTCTTCCCAGCGCATATGATTTGTTGTAGGGTTTGTATCCTCTTTGACGATTTAAGAACTAAGAACATTCAGGAACCTTTTCAGTACATAAATGAGGTTCAACAAGGCCAAGGGCCGGGTCCTGCCCTGGGGTCACCACAACCCCAGGCAGCGCTCCAGGCGTGGGGCAGAGGGGCTGGAAAGCTGCCCAGCGGAAAAGGCCCTGGGGGGGTTGGTCGCCAGGGGGCTGGATAGGAGCCAGCAGGGTGCCCAGGTGGCCAAGAGGGCCAGCGGCATCCTGGCTTGGATCGGGAGTGGTGTGGCCAGCAGGA